TTTTGGTCACTTGCCATTTTGGTCGTTCTGCTTCCTTCCGTCGTTTTGATGAGTTTGGTCGATTTTTGGAGGGCAAAATGACCGTCGTTTTGGTCATTTTGCTTTTGCGCCACTGCCATCGCCAGGATCGCAATGTGCAGGCTCTAATGGACGATCTCGATCTCCCACCTGACCGGGCAAACCTCTTTGAGGCTGGCGGCTTCAATGTGGGGCCTGAACAATTAGTAATTATTACTTCATGCTCCCTAACCTGTATAGAACATAGTACAGTATGCCCCAAAGCCCTATTCTAGTTCTTGGCCCTGGTGGATCCGGTGGCAGGTCGTCACGTTCGTTCTAGGTGTGATCTTGCAGCTTCGGATTTGGAGCTTCGGGTTCGCGATTCTGGTAGGAAGCTTTGACCAGTTTACTTGCTGGCAGTGTAGGGCCTGCTTTGTCAGGGATGCAGGGTGTGGTGTTTCTTCCTTCCGGATTGCTTTGCGTTCTGTCCAACGATCCCCACTTCTACGTCTTGCTTGACAGTTGAATGCACAATAGGTGCAGGAGGAGCCGGACATGCTGAAGAGCATCCCATGATACCAACAAGCAGGTACCGAATTGAACGAGGATTTTGCAGTTATGCAGCCATACTTCGTGCCGAGAACACTCTAGGATTCGACCATGCCCCCCCCCCCTTTGGTAAGCACTTCAGTTCTGTCAAAGCTGTTGGCGGCTATCCGCACAAATGATTGCACCATGAAGTCGTACGTCCGATACATCCGTGCCGAAAGGTCATCGACGCGGATGGTAGTGGCACAATGGACGTCACTGAGCTTGTGCAGGCCTGCACGTAGTTCTGCAAAAGTAGGTTAGCCTGTTCAGTTTCAGCATGCTGAGTAGTTGACTGGGAAGTGAACTTTCCGTGACTGTGGTGTCAGCATCTCAGGGCATGCTGAAGATCCGCGGAGACGTCAAAAAGAGCGACACTGTGGCAACACTTCTGGCAACGAAGGCACTTCAAGAGATGGTCTCGGAGTCCCGGCATGCAATTCTCACCATTTTCCACAACCAACTCGAAGGTGCAGTGCTGTACTGTAGTAGCAGTGCATGTGGTTGCTCAGGACCCACATGTTGTGAAACGATGCTAGCATCCTCAACGTCCCACTCTCTCCCAGGACATGCGCCACACGCTGTCGGAGCTGGAATCACGCATGATCCAGAATTTTCCTGCAAGTCCAAAGGTGGCCTAGAACTACGTTGAGCACTAGACTTGATGTGAGAATGGAATGCTCGCTTGTCGTTCGTAGTGCAGCGACACAGGCCAGTAGATTCGATCTCTTGGCCCTAATCGGCCGTTTCATCAAGGTCTCACCGATTGCGCAATTGCGCAATGCCCGTAGAATGTCTTGCAATCCGACTCTCAGCTCCTCGTTTGAACTTCTTCCGTATTTGTAGACATAGGATTCGGATCATGTGTATAAAGTCCTGCTGAAGCTTTACCCGGATGGGCGGCATAATGTCATCTCACCACAATTGCTCTTGCTCTGTAAGTTAGCACGCACGCACATAGAGACACACAAACACACCATGGAATTATGCACCGAAGCTGCGAATCTATCTTGGGCAAGCGGGGAACAATAAATGTCTTCTCACAAGGCAGCACTCCATCAGACGGTCGATCCCAACATCGTTCCGGGTCCGCTCCCCCAGATAGAGAATGTCCCTGTGTGCGACTCATGCCTCCATCATTCAAACGGGATTTGCAGCTTCGCTGTAAGCGAACTCAAGGCTGTGCGCAAAGACCTGCATCACAGATCATGTACTGTAGGAGTCTTCACCCATGGCTCGAGGAACGATGCCATGTCGCTGACCAGGTACCCAAGTTTTGTCGAATCTCGGAGCCAAGAGGGTCGATTAGATTAGAGCACACGCAGAAAATGCGTTTTTCCTTTTTGCCCAGGCTGCCTCCCCGCATTTCACAGCATGATAGTTTGCAGCCATGCCTTACTCCTTCAGGCACGCACTGGGCGTCGCTTTAGTCCTGCGAGTGCTGGACTAACAGCGATGTTTCTGTTGCACGTACCGCGCGACAGGAAAACCGTGTACCAACCTCGGGATGGTTCTGTTTCAAGAAGCCGGTTCGAGCCTCGAGCCTCGATGCATCTGCAGGACCGGTCCGAGTCCAAGCTCGGTAGTTGAAAAAGCTTCAAGCTTCAAACTCCGCGACTCGTAGCTTAGAAGCTTAGGTAGCCCCGCAACTCTGCCATTCTTGTCAGGCCTCGGCCCCTGGGCCCCTTGATCCCTGGTAACTACTCAGCTCCGATATCCTGCAAACATCGGCTTTGAGGCAGCGAACTTCCAGTGGCAAATCCACCCGCCCTGCGCAGCCATGGTAGAGAAATCCTCGTCGAAAGAGCCTTTCGCAGAGGCAAGGGCACAGAAGATCACCTGATCACTGTTGAGCTGGCATTGTCGGTATTGCGGTTATTTGCATTGTTCTTACGTTCGGTCGTCAATGCTGCTTAGCCACAGCTGATTCTGCCAGAGTTCGTAACGGGCAGTTAAAATGACGTGGCGAATCTTGATGCAGTGAGCTAATCGTGTCTGTATCCGCTTGCATGGCCCTTGTTCAACCTAGAAGTACCACTAGTAGTATCGTATCATGCTGTGGCCAGGTGCTTGACGCTGCATGGCAGGGTTTTCGCCACACGCTTCTGGAGGCCAAACAGTAGCTTTAGATTGTTTTGGTCGAATAAAAACCCTTTCAAGGTTGGACTCTTGAAGACATGATCGGCATATCGGTTACATTAGCAGGGGTTCGAGACATGCCAGGACTGCCCAGCCGGTTTGCTTTGCGAATGCAGGCACATGCCGACATTGCTGCGGACGATCCGACATTATCGGCACACCTGGAGCTCTTGCAGAGGATCAAGGTGAGGCTTTAGACGCAACAGCCTTACGATATGGCCCTGGCAGCGATCATGATGGAACCCCAAAACTTCCTTGACCCTCAGACAAGCGATGTTAAGTGTTTGTTGAAGCTCTTGGAGAGATGTTTCATGCTCACCGCTGGGCAGGCGGAGTCGCCCGGCTGGAAGTTCAGCTGCAATGGGCGGCGAGACTTCGAGTCGTAGGGCACAGGGAGACTTCAAGAGTCAGTTTGATTTGCAGCCTCTCAGTCGGATGTCCCCTCAATGTCCGAGGAGGCCGGCGACTGACTCGCACACGTTCAGCTCCGAAGGTGCCTCCGTGTGCTTCTCTCTATGAGCAATCGGTTCGCAGCACGGAAATCGGAAACTCATTGTAAGCCGAAGACAAGTCTCAGTCGCGGAGCAATTTCACCCGCACGCTGCTGCAGCTGCTCAAAGCTGAAAGTCGTGTGCGAATTGAACAGAGCTGAAGCGATGGCCGAGTAAAGGAATTTGGCAAAAGAGCGAGCAAAGTGCAAAAGCCGAAGGAAAGTCGCAGCAAACACCGCAAGGGGAAGGTGAAAGAGAGCGCGCGATCTGTTCGCTACCTGACAAACCGACTTTCTGGCAGGCAACTGCCCCTGCAGCAATGCGCACAAAGCACCACCGCATGCTAGGAAATCACACCACGACACGGTGCTTGATTGCTTTGGTGCTTTGGCCACAGAACTGAAGGTGCGCTGCAAGCGCTACCCAGAGAAATTAACGTTTTGGTCGGCTTGAGCAGGCTGCCTTCGACTCATGCTTAGCGAGGGAAGCTCACATCCAGCCCGCATCGAAGAATAAAGAGCAGGGCAGTCACCATCGCGTCGCAGGTGTGGGCAGCCCAGGCCTGTATGAGAAGGCCGGGCCTTTTCCAATGCCTTCTTATGAGTCGGATAGGAAAACCGCGACGCATTGCATGAATCCGGACGAAGAGTGAAATCTTGGCGGTTATAGGCCATGGAGCAGGAGGTCAACACCCCGTGGAGAGCAGAGGCTGGGCTGCCGGCACGTACGGAGAGAAGTTGCGATCTACAGAGTACCGGCATCCGAATCAGGGCATTGGTCAGGCAACCTCAGGCCAGCGTGTGATGCAGCTCGGCTCGGACCAAGGCCACCGATCCGGCGGCACAGAAATCTGTTCGACACAGGCTGCAGGCACGTGAGGGTCTGTCTTGGTGGACATGCTCATAGTCGAGTTGGAAGCAGGGCTGACATGAGCATTGGCTTGGGGAGCGACACATTGTGGCTTCGCATGGCCAGTTGCACAACGCAAATCGTGCGCGCACAGAGAAACTAAAATGCCAAGTCCAGTCATCCGCAAGCTGGCTTGGGGTCTTGGAGGTTCGGTTGAATATCCTCTCCTCGCAGCAGCTGATATCGGGAAAGCGCCTGAGCTGCGCTTTTGCCTGCCTTGGGCCTCAGGGGTGTTGCCGGAGCTAGGCAGAAACAGGAGTCAGGAACCAGAAGTGCCCGACATGCCAAATACAAATGGGCGAGTGACTATCATCGTTCTTGCAACAAACACTGCATAAGGGTGATATCCGGAGTCATGACTTGAGCAAACACCGAGTTTTGGAGAATCCCCGATGCTGCAGCTCGTCAAAGCATGAGGCTCAACCCTACTCTTCCTTGATCCAAACAGATGCGCACTGCAAACTTCAGAGATGCACGAAGTACTCCGCGTGGCCCTCGATGCAACTGCAGCATCTACTAGCTTTTGGAGGTTAGAGGCTTGATACCCTGGCTTCTCTTGGAAGCAGTTCTGGGCTGGACCTTCCCCGCAGCAAGACAGGAATCTGCATGATGCAGTGACGTCTTTGGGTTTGACAACATACACAGTCGAGGCCTGGGGCATTGCTTTGGAGTTGCCTTGGAAACTGCGGGATATTGATCTTGATGTGGTTGACTTGAAGCACAGCTGATGCGGCGTGAATTACTGCATGGATAGATTCTGGGTTTGTCCGCTGCGGCAGATCCAGATCTGAAGGTTGGTGCGATGCCAGAGCGAGGTTCCTGACACTTTTCAGAACGCAGTTGCAACTGTAGTTGCGGCCGCATTGGGAGGACATGAATGACCTCGTGAATGCAATGGCCGCCTTTATCAACCTTCGCTTCGTCAAGCAGCAGGAGCAGCAAAGTGTCATCTTGCGATGCAAGCAGATAATCCTGAGACGTGTGCTCAAGACGAAACGAGAGAAACAGTAGTGCTTGGGAAGGTCCAAGGATGTCTTCACAGCTCGCAGGACTCTCAGCTGACACGCGGCCGGTCCACGAACAGCATGTTCTCGACTCAGGCACGGCGTCCGTTTTCTGAGCATGCTGTTCAGCACAGAGATCTGGAAGAAATTGAAACGTAACCCGGCTCTTGCACCCTGCGGAAGTCACCTGCATCATGTGATTTCATGGAGGAGCACGAGAACTTGGGCAAGGCAGTTTGGCAGTGGCCATCTATGGAGAAGGCAAGCCAAAGTAGAAGCATCGGCTCTATATGTCGGCTGGCGTTTGCATGCTTGCTGTCGCCTCCGTTGCAGGGAACGCAGACTGAGACGACGACTGGTGAGCATCGAATCTTCGACTTCAATGTCGTGCCTGCCAAAGCGCTCATGGATATCTTCCTCCGCAAGGCGGCATGGGCGGGTTGAAGCATTTGGCGACTGCATGGACTGGTGGTCGTAGCTCAATGCGTGGCAGTGTGAAACACTGTTAAACAATACACATGCACAGTACACTTTCAGAGTGCACCTGTAATGAATCTGTTTCCCTTTCTGGCAAGATTCCAAAAAGGATCCATGGAGTTTCGGAGGCAGCATGCACACATCGCAGCGACATGCAATTCCACTCTCCTTTTGAAGGTGTTTCACCACACCCTCTTCACCACGAAATGTTGCAAGCAAGGGCTGTCGATCTGCGCATTGCGTGCACAGCGCCCCCCAACCCTGCATACAACGGCCACTCAGCTAAGTTTACTGTAAAAAGGAAGCTTTGCGGCACTTGCACTCGCGAGTCATGCCCTGCGTCCAGCGTTTTGATCCGCATGCCCTGGAAAATGTTCGGCCATGTTTGGCCACTTTGCGTTCACCGGGTCCTCGTCACCGGCTCTCGGGCTGGAAGCTTGAACTGGACCCACTCCCTGTTATACTGCGTGCCATGATGGCTCATGCACATGCTGTCACCCGGGTGTCCAGCTCCTCAAGATTCGTAGTCTGCGTGCAGAGCAGTCATCTTCTGATCGCTCCACGTCAGACCAGACCGGTGTCGCTACTCAAGCTGCTTGAAGAAGTGCTAGTGCGGGCATGCGCGGGCAAGATGGCAAAGGGTAGCAGGCAGTACTCAGTCAGACGTCATGGAGGTTTCAGTGAGGGCAATGCACCATCTCGACCATCAGCTTTCAATCCCTGTGAGGATGCAGAGATTCAACGGCGCATCTTCCCAGCACGCTCGATAAAGCAGTTTCAGGCTGGGGCCGGCTGGGGACTTGGTTAAGGAAATTGAATGCCCCATGCAGAGATCTCCTTCCCAGAGGAAGGTTCACGCAGGACTTCCGATCAGTATTTGTTGAATGGGTCGTGTTGAGTCTGAGTGGAGGTCTCAGCCAATCTCAGCAGAAACAACAGTATGAAGCCCGACACGTGAGCCCAGAGAGCCGACCCGATTCTGCTCAACTCGAAGTGCCTAGGCCAAGTACCAGCTAGACATAGCTTGAAGATGTTTTAGGCTTCCATCAAACAGTGTTAACAGCATCAGAAGACATGTAACTGGCAGAGGCCATGAGGGAGATTCTTCTGGCCGGTGACACAAACAAGCTGGTGGCCGAGCTGACATTCGCGTCTTCGGCTGAAATAATGCTAGCTACGACATTGGAGTGACGTTCGTGAAAAGCTGTTACAGTGCACACACGGACACGTAAAGATACTGTACTCATGAATGTCCTTGCGTCTGGACAATGCGCAAGGGAACCAAGCCAGAAACATGAAGGCACGGCCGGGTGCTGCAACCCGGCCGTTCCATTGCAAGGCAGGTTGCCTTTGTCCAGCTGCCTCAGACTTCAGAGGTCCGCATCAACGACTTAGCTGCGCCGCCAGAGGCAGTGGACGCTTTGCACTTCGGCATAGCAACAAAGCGGTGCAGACCAGGATCTGATTTCGTCTTGGGTGCGGTGTTGAGATGCTGGGTTGTTCGAGGGCGCTCACCGAGCCCATGAAAGGAGCACAGTACCTGTTCCCAAGCGAAGGTTCTACATCGAGCCTGTGGTCTGCATGCTGATTCTGGTGATTCATGCCTGAACGGAAAGCAAGAAAGCCGAGGTTGATGCGGGTGGGTTTGCTGCATAGACGTTACTTGTGAAGGTGAAGCGTCTTGCACCAAGGTTTCACATGAGGGTGCATCGCCTTGCATAGGAGCTTCTGGTGGATTGCATGCATACACACATATTTTTGGCTACATCCATATCCATGTGTATGTGTGCATGTGTGTATTTAAATGCTGTATATACAAATATAAGCGTACATCTACATCCTGTATGTGCACATTATATATATATATATATTGTGCGAGAGTTATATATATATATGTATATTATATACACACTTGTAGATACTGTTTACATACACACTTTTAGATACTGTTCCAGACTTCATCCTTCGAGTGTTATTCTATATGAAGGCGAGTTTGCTATCATACCAGCCGCCCAAGCATCTCTGCCACGTTGAGAGTTTCCGCCGCTACTCTCACGCAAGACTGGTTGTTCGACAACATAACGACAGCAACTACCAAAATTGCAACAAGCTTCAAGGAACGGTATTCTGATCGGCTTCCAGACGGACCCCCGCTTTGAGCATTGGCCCGGCTGGCCTTACGTGGAGCTGGCCTTCGCAGCTTGGACTTGCCGAGCAGGAATTTGGCACTGGTACTATTTCGGAGATCGTGCTAGTTGGAGTGAGGCCGAGCTTCCGCCGCAACACCAACACCAGTAGGTTTCGTGGTCGCTGTTCTTGAACTTCCGCTCGCCGCAGGTGCTGTCAGCACTTTGCACTTGTGGCTTCACTACTATGATGACGGATGGGTATCATTGCTACCTTGTAGTAAGATGACAACTCGTAGTGAGAGTAGTAGCAGCAGCAGTGTAGCAGCAGTGGTAGCGGCAGTGGCGGTGGTAGTGGTAGTGGTATTGTGGTAGCAGTGGTCGTACTAGTCGTAGTAGTAGCAGCAGCAGCAGCAGTAGTAGCAATAGTAGAAGTACTAGGCGTAGTCGTCGTAATGGTCTTAGTCGTAGTAGTCGTCGTAGTAAAAGGAGGAGTAGGAGTAGGAGTAGGAGTAGTTGTTGTTGTTGTTGTTGGGGTAGTGGTCGTGGTGCTGGTGCTGACGCTTACTGGTAGTACTGGTAGGACTGGTAGAACTGGTGGTAGTAGCAGTCTCAGCAGTAGTAGTAGTAGTAGTAGTAGTAGTAGCAGTAGGAGTAGTAGGAGTAGTAGGAGTAGTAGGAGTAGGAGTAGTAGTAGGAGTAGTAGGAGTAGGAGCAGGAGGAGCAGCAGTGGTAATACTTTACAGTAGTAGTAGTAGTAGTAGTAGTAGTAGTAGTAGTCGTAGTAGTAGTAGTAGTAGTAGTAGTATTAGTAGTAGTAGTCGTAGTCGTAGTAGGAGCAGGAGCAGGAGTAGGAGCAGGAGCAGGAGTAGGAGTAGGAGTAGGAGTAGGAGTAGTTCGCAGTGGTAGTTCGCAGTGATTGGTAGTAGTTAGTAGTATTTAGTAGTTGGCAGCAGAAAGCAGCAGCTAATAGCAATAGCAGCAACAGTCAGCAGTGGGGGTAGTACGATGAGCAGAAGCACCAGCAGCAGCGGGGCGAGCGGCCATTTAGGTCAAGCCAACTGCCGTCCATCGCCACATGACCATGGTACATCAGAGCCTTTCCGATATGTGAAGCCGATAGACCCTGCCAGAGGTTGGGCGAACTGAAGCCCAGAAGCCCGAACGCCTTGAGCAGAGGACCAAACAGTTTTTGCAATTGCGACGACCTGACACTTGAACCCGAAAGATCCTAAACTTTCAGCACTCGAGGCCATTCTTCTGGTGCTGGAATGCGGCATGCGAGTTTGGCTCTCCGGTGGCCTTCGGGGCTTCTTTTGCTCAGCTGCGTTCCGGCCGCAACTGTCCAGTTGCTCAGGCATCTTGAATGACATCTGTGATGATAGCGATTATTACAACAGCAACAGCGACAATGAGAACAATTCTCATGACAATGGCAATTCCCGAGGCATTGATGGTACAAACATGTACCAACATGAACCAACATGCAACAACAACAACAAGAAAAAAACAACAACGACTAGAATAGTACCAACACCAACACGAACAGCGGCAACAGCAACAACAACACCAACACCAAAACCAACAACAGCAGCAGTAGCAAAAGCCACACAGCACCAACAAGAACAGCAGGAACCATAAAAACAAAAAGAAACGGTGTCATGAAAATCGTGGTCGTAACGACACACAAGCAAGGAATGCACACGCTGTTGTAGCTTCGTGCGCGAGGTCTGCGGTTAGGAGTTTGGGGTTCTACGTTTTTGGCTGCTACCTGGCATCAGTCTTTGAACAACGCTTCACGCGAATCAATGTCTCTATGTTTCAGATGACAGATAAGATAAGACAAGCTTCTCACAGAACTTGCAATTTCGTCGATGTCCTCTGGACGGATTTGCAAATCAGGAGCGGCTCTGGAACGTGTTCGATCTGTTTTTGGTATGCACAGCTGGCTCCTCAGAAGAGAGCCCTCCTCGCTTCTGGGCAGAGCTCGACACAAGCAGTACTGCGCTTCAAGGCAGTCACGGACGTGACTTTCCAGCTCACCATGCAGGAGCAGTGTCACTACCACCCTTCGCTGAAGTGCATTCATTTGCTGAAGACTTCCAAAACGTCCAAACTTTCAACGCAGCTGTAGCAGGAGAACTCGGACATGTTCGGTGCCTCACTGTTACGCTTCTGCCGCCTGATACGACTGGTTCGTGTGGTGACGCCGAAGCTGCAAGGAAAAACTTTGCCGTTTCGGTGACATTTGCACATGGACAATTCAGCTAAGCTCTTTCAGCCTCTGGCTTGTTTAACCGACTAGCTATTCTGCTGTACATTGACATGACCAATCAGCCAGTGAACTCGAAGAAATCTCGAACCCAAAAGCTATATAGACTCCTAGACGAAGAAGCAGCCGCAGCACTGCAAACGCGGGAACCAGAAGGATTGTGCTTTGCAGTGCAGCGCTGGTCGATTAGGCAGGTCTGCCAGCAAGATCCACTGTGGCAGTACATGGCAAGCAGTGTAATGCAAACAGGTCTGCGGACCTTGCTACCGAGTCGGTGGAACTCTGAAGTGACACGACTGGACGAGACTTTCGGCCAGGGTTAGACGTGACTCTGAGGAAAGTCTTCCGCTTGAACTACATGAAGGACCTGCAGTAAACCGTAGGACAGTAGGACTCAGGGGGCCAAGGTTTGTTAGCGTTTGCACCCATCTCCACTCCCAGCCATCGCACCGAACCTTTCGCTTCCTTTCGCTCCACATGCATATTTGCAATCCACTTGAACTGCAAAAGGCTTGGTCTTGGTCTGGTGTGACCGACTTTCACGTCGGGTTCTTCGACTCCGTATCATAGCGCTGCCAGCAACACGGAATTCCCTATGTGACTGCAGGAGCTGCGTTTGATGATCAAGGGCTTGGTTGGTGGTATCCGCACTCTGCTGCTCGCCTTCGCCCTGCTGTTTGCAGTGCCCGGGCATGGTTAAGCATGCTTAAGTGTACTGACGGTGTGTAAGCCCTTACAAGGCATTCCCACCCGGCAGCTTGAGCCCTTTGTGGGGAAATCTGGCATCCAGACGGCTGCACACAGAAGCCACACAAAACAGGTCCTTTACGTTATCGCCGGATTCGCTACGATGACCATCGGGCGTGATAGTCGAACTCCAGGACGGAGCACCACAAAACTCCGGGGCCCATGTCATATCACTTCGCGTTTACACATCTCACGGTGTTGCATGAAACCCGCCGGTTGCACACAGCATGCCAAGAACTTTGCCATGATCACGGTGAGGCTAAAGTTACAGACTGAAGGGGCTATCTTTGTCGCTGCCCCATGGCTGGACAGGCTCAGTTTGGCTCAAGGAAGCTTCGATTGTTGGAGAACCTGAACCTCGGAACTCAACATTGCCCGCTCATCAGAGCAGTACAACTACACAGCAGAAAGCGCACGGAAACGCATGGCACGGCACATCAAGTTGTCGGCCCTGCAGGAGACCTCCAGGGCCACTTCGAGAACATCCCGCAGCACCTTTGCACGGTTTGTGCCAAGTCTCCGCAAAGCTACTTAAGATTTGCGGTTTGTCTTGGTCAGCCTGCTTATAGCAGAAGGCTTCCACCAGCAGGAGCTTAACAGCGCATGCCAGCTCGAGATACGGAACTCAGGTCTATGTTCACTTCCTTTCGTTGCTTCTCGGGCGAGTGCTTCGCCGACACAGGCGAGACCGGGATGGGTGAACAGAACCTGGCTGGGCTTGTCATGTACTTCAGCAGTCTAAGCTGCCGCTGAAACGCGCCCGTCAAGAGTCGATATCTGCACCGCTGACCATCGTGAACCGGAAATTCGGAGCAGGTGCACCCATTGCCTCGGTAATGTCCTCTGTCTTTGGCTGGCCCTTTGTCCTCTCCTACGTGCTGAGTTACATGCTTGTCTCCATGGGAGCCACGGCCCGGCAAAGAAGTAGGCGAGGGGACGGTTTTCACAAGGACTGTCGGCTGCATTTCCTGCAAGGGTGTCCCCACGTTCGCATGGCTGCGAACCATGTACCCGAAAGAGAGGCATACGAGGCATCATACAGCTTTGCAATGATCACGCCACACAGCCGAGGAATCTTCAATGTGATTCTTGCAGCCCCTGGTCAAGCACGTAAACGCTGGCTAGATGTCGACCGGGGTCCGCTTGAGAAAGTCAAGACAAATAGAGGAGCATCTCACCATCGAGGATTTAGAAAGCGTGCGAAAGCGATGAGGAAGGCTTCACACTGTAATGAAGCCCGTTGATGCATTGAGCAAGTATTTGCCGAGGTGTACGTGGACATCACCATGCGCGCGGCCAAGGAGAGTCCGGGTTATCGAGTATGCTTTGTGATTGAAGCAACCCTTGTAGTGGCTTCATGGTACGATTTGTGGTAAGCGTTACACTAACCGATGTAGTCATCCTTATAAGCTCAGTCTCACTTCGCTCTCGAAGCTTTCATCGGCCATCACATAACTCAGTGGGCCACCAACACGTACGCTTGTTTGTTGTATTGGCGGCTGAGGTGGTTGCTTGCATCTTAAGTTCAGCATAGCAAATCGTGGGCAAGATCAACCATGGGATTCACAAGTTTCGTTGCAGGAGACGGAAGCTACGACGGCGGAGCAGTACTCACGATACTGGGCTACATCTAGTGGGCATGTGAGTGTCGAGCAACTCGTGCACGGATGATGCTCGAAGCTCCTTTGTCGCGCGGGGTATTGCGCAGCTGCTAAATTGAATACCCATGTCTGAAAACAAGTTGTTGCACACAGGAAGCACCTGATCAGCTCTCGATCCGAAGCCCCGAGCAGCCAAAATCGTACTCGAAACAACGCAACAGCAGTCGAGCGAAGTCGTTGCCTCATGTATGGACACGGCGCTGAAATGTACAAATGTGTCCCAGCCTTGACTTGCTCAGGAGAGTCCATCCGCATCGCTCGGACCACTCGCCCCTTGACAGCAACCTTTGGATGAATGGCCTTGCGCTTATTTGCGCGTGTTGATACGGCTGCTTCGTTCTTCTCCAACCATCGGGGCCGCAGTTCCGTCTGCGTTGCAACTCCAGCCTCTTCCTCTTCTTTCTCGATGTGGCTGCTCCATTGTTTGCCGCTGCACCAGCACTACTGCTACCGCTGATACTATGGTTACGTCTGTTGTCACTGGTTCGCCGTCGTAGTAGAGGTCGTACTAGTAGTCGCATAGTCGTAGTCGTAGCACCCGTAGTGGTCGTCTTGTTGTAGTAGTCGTCGTAGTAGTACTAGTAGTAGTAGTAGTAGTAGTAGTAGTAGGAGTAGTAGTAGTAGTAGTAGTAGTAGTAGTAGTAGTGGTGGTAGTAGTAGTAGTACCACCAGCAATATGGATGGCAAAAGTACGAAACGTACTAAGTACTAGTTCTAGTGCTAGAGTTGGCGCTGGAGGCACTACTAATTAGCGCTCGTACAGGTACGAGTACTAGTGCTGGTACTAGTCGTCGTCGTAACAGTAGCAGCAGCACCAGCACTAGCAGTAGTAGTAGTAGTAGTCGTAGTAGTAGCTACTACTACTACTACTACGACGACGACTACTACTACTTCTCCGATTACGACTACCTACTCGTACTGCCTACTGCTGTCTACTGCTATCCTCTACCAGCGACTACTGACGCTACCACCTACCACTACTGCTGCGGGTGCTGCTATTACTGCTGCTACTGGGGCTACTAGTGCTGCCGGTGCTACTGCTGTCGGCTTCCCGGGCAGGTGAGCTCCTCAAGAAGTTCGCCGAGGCATATCGCCTCTTCCACGACTCGCATGAGGTTGAGCCTCAGACTCAATCCCCAGCCAAGGTGCGCAAGGAAGGGATTGAAGGGAAGAGCCCTGATGGCGGTGGGTAGTTGCGTTTGAATAGTGTGAAGGTTTCAGGTTGTCCCCTTTAGCCTGGCCATCAACGATTCCAGATTTGTATCCAAGGGTCGACTGAATTTGGCAACAACCTCCTTCACCGAAGACATCCACGATAACATTGCCAGGAGCTCAAGCAAAGTGATCACATGTGATAACGTAAAGTTCGCGTCTGGAGGTTTCGGGCGTCTCATGGCAACAGACGGGTGCGTTTTGCGAGTGAAGGATGGAGCGTTGACCCGGGCACGTTTGTCCAAGTCGGTCGCCCAGGCCATTACCAAAGAGCTCTTCCTGCTGGTAATTCAGGACCTGCGATGTGCATAGGGATCTGGTTTCAAAGAGGGCTGTGCAGCAGTGTTTTAATTCATGCCTTGGCAGAACACATGGTGCTAGACTGATTGGCGACCAGACTCAGATAGCAACAAGTCAAAAGCATGCAAGGACCAGAGCGTTCAGAAGCTCATGAACGACTTGGACCTGCCATCAGACAGGGCAAACCTCTTTGAGGCTGGTCGTTGCAGCTGAAAGTTGAAAACAGCCGGTACGCCGCAACGCGACCCAATGTCATCGGATCTTGCACTGGAGGTGCTCCCTGCTCTCCTCCATGCCTCCCCTGTCTCGCAAGAGTCTCACGAGTGCGGACAAAGCAGCCTCAAACTCAAACCGGGAGCAATATGGTTCGCGTTTTGGACATGTCGACCAGGTAATCGATGCTGATGGATCTGGAACGCTTCACGTGACTGAGCTTGTGCCGTCAGGGTCCAGTTGAAAGGGTTGCATATTCCCGGATGGATGCAGATACACGTGCCACTGCCGGGTTCGAAGCATTATTTTTCTGTTGAGCTACCTTGAAATCGCTCTTCCAGCCTATGCCGCAGTTGCAAAGAAGCTTGTGCCCTGCGGCAGGTACAAGGTTTGCTCAAGATCCGTGGAGAGTTGACCAAGAGCACCCCGGACGGGACAGTTGCATTGCTATTGGTAGTGATGGCGGCAACGGTAGCAGTAGCCGGCGTAGCCGTCGTAGTAGTGGTCGTAATGGGCAGGAGCAGGAGCAATGGCAGGAGTGGTGGTAGGAGCGGTCGCCGTGGTGGTGGTACTATGTGGTACTGGTGGTAGTGGTGGTGGTGGTGTCATTAGTGGTAGCAGCAGTAGTTGCAGTATTTGTAGTCGTCTTCGTAGTCGTAGTCGTGGTAGCAGCAG